ATCCAGCTCATAGTGAAGAATCTTCTCCTTCATGTTTGTAGGTATGTTTGATGAAAGAGTTGCAATATGGGCGTGGTTCTGGTTGAATTTCAAAGCCAAGCTGTGTCTCTGGGCACCCACCTTGCAGCACAGATGTGAGCAAAATAAGCAGGTTCTTTTCAAATTGCCACCCCCATGACATGGGCTTTCCCCAGCCCTGACACTGCTGTTTCCATAAGCCATGATGAAGGCTCCATGCCAAAACTGGCTTGGAGAAATGGGAGGATGGCAGGAGCAGGGAAGGGAAAGGGAAGTCTTTTTATTGCACACTTCATTAATACTGCAATGCTCAAACTTTCCACCCAAGCTTTTAAAGCCTCCCGACCCTCACAGCACCATATGAAATGCCAAAGCTGAAGCTCACAGGACCGACTCAAACCATTCCTTGAAGCCTTGGCATGTCCTGGTGCCCAGAAGCTGCCAAAAGCCCTTTGGGCACAGCCTTGCCCTCCTCAGCCCAGCACTGTGAAGGTTCTTGCAATGCCAGAGCTGCTCAGGGCATGTCCCCCACCTCGGTGGGACTATGAGCCATGGTCCCTCCTGGATTAATGCCATGGTCACCAGCACTGGGGGAGGCAGACAGGTCAAGTGTGCTTGGACAAAAACAAACCAGAAATGTTTTCCTTTGTCTTTTGCAATGCACAGATTGCTACACCTTGGTGATGCTCAGCTTCTGGAGAGCTAATCCTGCCCTGGGCCCAGCAGGTACAACGTGCAGTTTGTATCCTCCCAGTGAGAAGATGTCTGAGCTCACAGGCCACTGAGGCATCTGTCACATCACAGGACATGGCTGTGACTAAGCCTTAGTGTCACTGCAAGGCATCATCCCTCCCAGGCACCACCCATGCTGGAGAGGACCTGGGCTGCCCATGCTGAACAGCCTCTGGCATTCCCTTGGCTTCTTTCCCATCCTCAGCAGAGCCTGGCTCATCCACACTAGCAAAACTTTAAAAATAAAAAATAAAAAAAAAAGAGGAAAAGCAGACACCAAACGAATAAATAAGAGTGGTGTGTCAGCAGCAGGCCAGAAACACACCCAACCAGCCCCTGTGTGCACTATGCCACCCAGCTGGGAGGGTGGTGGGGACAATGGCCATGGGGACAACGGGGAGGTCAGGGCTGCTCTGCTCCTCGGGAGGGGACCTGCAGCTGCCACCAAAGCAGTGGGAGATTTGGGGTGTCCTTAAGAAGGGTGTGTGCCCACTGAGACGTTGAAGGGTGGCTGAAGTTGGCAGTGAATACGTTTGTTAGAAGGAAGAGTATGATGACAGCCATGGTGAGGAGGGAGTGGTCTCTGCAGAGAAAGCCCCTCCAGGTGCTGAGCAGGAGCTTTAGTGGTGCTGGGGCTGCAGGGATGGTGGGACCAGGGACAGGCTGTGCCCTGCACACACCCACGACTGCTCTATAGACATGCTCAATGAAAAGGCATGTGGAGGAGGTTGCTCCTTTTGACCTGACCTCATCTTAAAGCTTTAAAAGTGCCTCCTTCCAGGAGCCACTGATGCTCGATCACCCTTCCCTGCTTCATGCTACCAGGTAAATAATTTCAGCTTCGTAAATGTGTGTGGGCATTTTTTGCCCCTCTCCCCATGTTCTCTTCATGTTCCAGCCGCCCCTTGGTGCTCTCCTCAAACAAAAAACAAAGGTGCCACTCCTGGCTGGTGGCACAGCAAAGGCAGGGTGCAGGCTGGGAAGAGCAACCAGCTCCTGGGGCAGCAGCGACGTGCTTTGGAGTAAGGATTCCTCTTCCCTAAGGGAGCCAGAGGAATGGCAGGGGCACGGGTCCATCTGCCAGCATTGCTGGGCTCTGACTACAACTGTTTACCTTGAAAGCCGGAGGGTTACAGGCTCCAAAGTTTCCAGGGAGAAAATACAGACCCTGCCTTTCAGCTGTGTGCCAGAGGCTGTGGAACCTCGACGAATTCCTCGGTTTTGTTTGGCTGGGGTACCCCGGGCTGGGGAGCATCACCAGCCAGAGGCTCTGCTGCCTTTGATCTGGGAGAGAGGTGAGCTCCTCGACAGGTTAACAGCCGTCAAACTCCACAGCCTCCCTGCCCGGGAGTCTAAACTCTTCCACCTGCTGTGTACACACTGACAGGGGCCCCCAGACAACCCGCCCTGTGTGTGCCCACAGGCAGCAGGCAGCCTCACCAAGGATGTGAGCACAGCTCTTCAGCAGCCTGCCAAGGCAAGCAGCGAGGGCTGAGCCGCCGGGCCCCGCCGTGTGGAGCCAAGGGGACCTGTTCTTGTGCTGCCCGTGGGCTGGTCCCAGCAGAAGGGAGGGCTGCCAGAGCTGAAGAGCTTTCCATCACCAGCCGAAGGGGCTTTGCCCCTTCCCCGAGCTCTGCCGAGGGGGGCTGCCTGCATGGGTGTTCCATGTGTAAAAAGAACCACTGAAGGGGAGCTCACGGGGTCAAAGTGGAGAAAAACAGGCTGAAGAGCATCCAGCAGCAGCCCTGGAGCTTGGCTGGAATCTCCTCCCAGCACCACTCAGGCTGGTCAGGAATCCCACCAGCAGCATTAGTCTGGTCACACCTACGCCTGCCCCAGTCCTGTCAGCAGTGGAACACAAAACACAAGCAACTGGTCAGTCAGGTTGGTCAACACCAGCTCTGGCCTGTGGAACCACAGAGCTGCTCACCTCACATGGGGCTTGCAGAGAAATGAATTATCTCAGAGAAAAAAAAACAAATAAAACCAAAATAAACCCTGATGTTTGTAAAATACAGGGAAAGGCACGGCCGGGGGCCAGGCCTTGAGAAAACAAAACAGTGTCAAAGCATCTGGATGTGCACCCCAACTAGGCTGGGGAAGGCTCTAGAACCCAAGTCTGGTGAGGAGCAGCTGAGGGACCTGGGAGTGTGCCAGGGGATGTTCAGGTTGGACATTAGGAACAATTTCTTCCCCAAAAGGGTTGTCAAGCCCTGGAACAGGCTGCCCAGGGCAGTGGTGGAGTCTCTAAGCCATGGACATGTGGTGCTGAGGGACGTGGGTCAGTGGTGACCTGGCAGAGCTGGGTTAATGGTTGGACTTGATGATCTTAAAGGTCTCTTCCAACCAAAACAATTCCACATTTTGCACTTCAAGGGCTTTGCCCTTCTGTCTTACACAATAGCAAAGCTGAACAAATATTGCCTCACCTCCTCCTGCACCATTGTCTCCCATTTCAGGAGGTGCAAGATCTGTGATCTCCAGTCTCTCCTGAGCTCACAGACCTGTTTCAGGCCTGGCTGGGGCACCAGGTGCTGGATGGGTGCTAAGAACCACACCAGGACTTGGCAGCTCTGGCCAAAAACATGCAAAGTATACATCTGTCTGCAGCAAGTTACAGTCAAGTCCACAACCAACCTCCGTGGCCACCGGCCACCTCCAAAGGACAATGGGGTGGCTGACAGGCAGCAGCAGTGCTGGGGGCTGAATGGGTTTAACACACGTGGCATTGTGGCCCTTCCATGACCCTTGTGCTCAGCACTGTACAAGCCTCAGTGACACAGTGGCCATAGCCCACCCAGATCCCTCACTCTCACTGTCCTCTCCCTCTCCATCAGAAAAGAAAAAAAAAAAGAGATTTACCTTAAAAATTAAGACCTCAAACAACCTGCAATGCCTTGGCACTAGTTCCACAGGCTGCTACGTCAAGGCAAAGTTTTCTGTCAACTCCAGAGAGACTTTGACTATTGGGAGGTCTTCCCAATGTGGAATCTCAACGTGGCTCAAGACAAATGAAGAGACACAACTAAAGAGGGGAGCAGGGAAGAAAGCAGTCTGAGAGAAACACAGTTATTCGAGTAGGTGCAAATCAGGCAAATAGGTTTAACTCAACAAGAAGAAGGTCTTTGGCTGAACTTCCTCCACATCAAATCCTGCACCTTCGTTTGATTTAAAAACATCATTTTGTTTTTGAAACTCACCTCCTGCTGTTTGCTTTTACACTGAAGGGTTAAATAACCTGAAAAAATCAACAACACTATTTGCTTTGGGCTGACTAAACTGATTCATTCAATCAACACTGTTCCCTTTTCCCCCTCCAGGTTCGTTGTTTTGCTTTAAAACCAAAAAGCAATAGCTGTGAGCTGATCTGAATTTTGGTTGTTTTTTTTTCTCCCCCCCTCTCACCCTCCCGTACTTATGGGTTTGGCGACCGGGCTGAGAAATCCATTACCCAGAGGGATCCCAGGCCAGCCTAACCCACATCTGACAGTAAAAGAAACCAGATTCTCCACATCTTTTTAGCCCCTGGCTTCCTTCTTGGGCTTTCCTACACGCCTCCTGCTCCCACCGAGGCTGGTGGCCGGGCTGGGTGTTGGAGAAGACACTATGCAAAGAGGCTGCACTTTCCCCTTCTCTCCTCTCTGTGGGTCCAGCTCTTGGGGTCAGCACCAGTTTCCAGCAGTGGTCCCTCATCCTGGCCACATCCCAGCCCAGGGCCAGCCGTCGGTGAAGCCACCTCCAGTCCTGAAACCCTACGAGCGCCCAAGCAGCAGCCAGACGGTGTCGAGAAGAAGCACCAAGGAGGCACCAAAGATGGACTTAATAGGAACCTTTAATGCACAGCAGGAGCTGCCGGCAGCCTTGCGAACGAAGGCAGCACCCGGAGCCACCCCTGCACTCGGAGTGGTACAAAAGCCCAGCTCACCTGCAGCACCCCAGCACCCACCTGGCATCGCCCTCCGGGGCCCTCGCAGGCAGGGCGGTGTCACCAGCCACCTGTGCCACCTCCTCCTGGCCTCCTCGGCCACCACGGCACCGGGGCTGCCTGCCCCACGTCTCCTGCCCAGTGGTGGGGTGAGTGGGGCAGGCAAAGAGGGGGTCACCCTGTGCCCAGCAGCTCCCCTCTGCCCGGCGGGTGTCTTGTCCTCCCAGGGTTTTGGGTGCGTGTAGTCCAGGAAATCCAGTAAGAAAAGATTAAAAAGGAGAGGCTTTGATGCTGAGTCTAATTAGGTAATTTCTTTTTTTTTTTTTTCCTCTTGAAAAATTAAAAAAAAAAAAAAAAAGGAAAAGAAACAAAAAGTCCAACTTGCTGATTCCTTGTTTCTCTGCCATCTGCAGGAGAAAGTCCCGTTTGGCCTCGCTGTCCCCTTCCACTCCCTCCGACCACCACCCGACCCCGAACCCCACCGAGCCGCTCAGCTCCTCACGAGTCCTCGACTCCTCGGAGTCCCTTCGCCTCCCACAGCTCCAGGCCCGCACCGTCCCTCACCGCCCCTTGGACTCCCCGTAGGTGTTGCGCAGCATGGAGACCATCTTCTCCTCGCAGGTGACCCTGGTGTCCCTCAGGATGCTGTACCAGAGCACGCCGGGCGGGCGGGGCTCCTCGCTGCGGCAGAACAGGTAGGGCATGGTCTCGGTGCGGCTCTGGATGTAGGCGCTGCGCAGCAGCGTGGAGCAGTGCCCGCTGACCTTCTCCAGCCTCCTCAGGATCAGATGTGCCTTCCTGGAGGGGACGGACAGAGATAGGGACAGAGCGGGGCGAGCGATGCGAAGAGGAGACCGGGAGCCAGGGCGTCTGGGTTCTGCCACCAGCTCCGTCTCGTGACAAGAAGGGATGAGACCCATTGCCTAAGACGTTGGCTTTCCTGTTTCAAGTGGGGAGGAGCTCTGCTTCGCCCAAAAGTTTCACAGCAGCTGGTCAGGAGGGCTGGAGAGACCTTAGCTTCGTGCCCTGGGGACACTGTCTGCTCTGGCTAGATGGTCACCACCACCACCAGCACATGTGCTAGCCCCCAAGCACCCTGGTGAGACCCCCAGCACCTTACTGCTCCCAGCCAACGAGCCCAGCCCTTTCTTTCCTGTTTTCCCAAGTCTCCAGGAGGCAAATGGCCCAAAAGGACTTAAACTGGAAGAGCGAGGAGTAAAAGCACAACACATCAAGACAAAACAAAAGAAACCGGTAAGAAACTAAGAATCCCCTGGTGGGAGTCTGAGAAGTGCTAAATCAAACACAGGGAAGGGAAGAGGCTTTACCTCAGTGGGCCAAAAGTCACAGATTATTTCCTCTCCCTCTGGTGGCACAGGAGCGGGAGGACTGGAGGAAAGGCTGTAGGAAACTGCTCACCAGGGCTGCATGGGGAACACTTCCCTGCTCCTCCCCGGGGGACAGGCTCAGGGTTGGCTTCCCAGGGGAAGGGAAGAGCCAAGGGAGTTGGCCCTGCTTGGACAACACCCTCTGGTGCCCATGTATCCATTTAACCTCTAACAAGAAGCCTGGTGAGCTAATTGGAGCCTCGTTAGCTACACACACACACATAATAATGATGTCAGGGGCTGAGCTGTGCCCAGCTCTGACAGAAAACTCCTACTCATGGTACTCCCCACAGCAGCCACCTGACCTTCTACAGCATCTGGTGCTCCCACTGTGTGGCAGGACCTGATGTGCTGCCAGGAGCAGGTCCTTTGCTGCTGGCTGCCACAAAGTTGTGGAATTCTGTGATGGCAGGAGATGCTTTCAAGTGAAGACTGGTTGTTTACAGCTCAGCAGAGCAGCAAGTCAAAGTCTGTGGTGACTGTCACTACAGCTAACAAACTTCAGCAAATCACAGTCCTCGGCGCTGGGAGAGACCAGAACACATCATCTGTGTCACCTCCTTGCTGGGATCAACCTGCCTTGATGAATATCTATCTGCCTAACCTGTTCTTAGAGACAGGAGCTGGTGAGCCTTCCAGTGCTCACCGACCCCAACACTGAGAAATTGTTTCTTAACATCTGCCTGAGATGTTGGGTCTCCCTATTTTTATTTATTTTGTTTAAGGGGAGGCTGAGCAAGCACAGGGCCCATGGTCAGCCCACAGGATGGACTTTTACCTGAGCTGACAGTGCTCAAGAGGAGACCATTAAGCCAGAAAATGCTTCTCCTCCAAAAGGGCAACTCCCATCTCTCTAAGGCCACAGCTCCACGGTCACCTTTATTGACTGTACATCATCTCCACAGCCAGCCAGGGGGTTCTGGCCCTTCCCCAGCCCATTTGCTTCTGCTTATGCAGGTGTCCATGGACCTGAATGCTGTGCTGACATGGGGAAGTTGTCCACCCAAAGGCCAGCCAAGCAACCTGTGAGTTCTCCCCCCAGGTCAGATCCCACTCCAGCTCACCTCAAGGCCTTTCCCAGCTACAGCAAGAGGGGAGCAATGATGAGTGGCCATGATCAGCCTTTCAGGCAAACCCCAGTGGTGGGTAACCATGACTTGGCCCTAACAACACAAGGAATAGACACCCCAGCACATACTTACACATCTGCTGGCCAAACTCTTCTCTTCCTCTTCTCCCTTCTCACCACTTCACCCTTCTCCTAATCTCCATAACCTTCTTCACCTCTCTCTCATTTCTCTCCTGCACAACCTGCCTTTTCCTCCTTTTCCCATGGCCTCCTCTACTCTCCCATTTTCATTACTTGCTTCATCATACTTCCATGGTCATCTGGATTTTGCTAAAAAACACCATGTTGCCCTCACATCCTGATACATCCTCAGGTCTCTCATCCAGACAAACATTCCTACATGTGAAGATCAGCTCAAGGTTGGCAAGAAGCCCAGTGGCCAAACCATCCAGACCTGCTGATGTGCTGGAGGCTGTGCTCCTCATGGGGCAGAACTTCACACACCTGCTGCAGCTGCAGGTGTGCTCAGGGCTCAGTCCCAGGAAAACAGCAGAGTTTAAGGGTGGGATGCAGCACACGATGGGATGGCCCCACAAGGATGCTGAAAACACACTGCACCGTGGGCAAAGAGGAGACAAGGTGATGGGGGGGAGGGAATCAGGCCCCTTGCTTCTGGTGTCTGGTGTCAAAGCCCCAGTTTTGATGGGTCTCACTGCTTGGAGGCATTTGTTTCAGTGGGGTAATGAAGTCATGTGTAAATGTTAGATTTGGCTTTTGGCTGTCAGCTGTTCCCTCTTGAAAAAAAAAAGGAGAAAGAGAGACAGAGTGGGTGAGGGGAGGGGTGAGAAAGAGAGAGAGGCTTTCTGGTGGAGGCTGGGTCATAAATCACAGGAGCTGCTCTCGGGCTGCCAATTTAACAGCATAAATCAAGCCCTGGGTATTACCCAAGGGCTCCCTGTGGAGGGCTGTCGGGTCAGAGCGACCACCTTTCCAAATACTGGAAATGAGATCTTCCCAAATGCTGACCAGCCTCATCCCTGCCAGCACTGGGTATTTATTGCCTTATTACAGGGCAGGAATTAGGAGAGGGTGGCAGGGGAGTGAGTGAGGCAGGGGGGTCCAGCTCAAGGCTGCCTGGGGCCAGACCCCCAGCCCTTGAGGGGACAACCCCATCCCTGTCCCCATAGCCACAAATGATAAGGAGGGGGATTTAAAAACAGTGATGGCCCTACGTGGCTGCTTCCCTCTGTGGTACCTTGTGGCACAGGGGGGGAGAGGAAAGGGCAAGGGGATGTGGTGCACTTTCCAAGGGCTCCTGCATGAACCAGGGACCCCAGTGCATGGAGTGTGGTGCAGTGATTGCACGGGGGCTGGGACACCGAGGTCCCTGCTTACCAGCCCAAACTCTGCAAGGACGTGCCCTAGAGCAGGACATGGGTTACCTCCTGCTCTGCCCAGCCCCGGGGGTGCTCCCAACAGGGACACTTATCCCTCAGCTGCCCAGGAGCAGCATCAACTCATCTTGATGGCTGGTGTGGGATGAAAATGTATCCAGGGCCAGCAAATCCCTGCCCAGTCTCACCTAGGAGGAGGTACCAAAAGAGAATGAACCAGCACAAAGCAGCAAAGAAATGAGACCTGAGCTGCAGGGGAGGATTTGATTCCCAGGACTGCTGCAGGGAGAGGGTGGCTGCCTGGCTGCTGTGTTCCCATATGGGGTGATTTTGTCATAAATTCAGATTTTTCCACTCTACTGAGAACTGACCCGGGTCTGTCAGACCCTTGTGTGGAAGGACAACGAGTCCAGGACTCGATGGCCTCTTATCACAGCCTCTCATCAGTACATTGCATTCCCCCTCGGTACCAGAAGGCAGATGCTCTGGAGATGTGCTTTGTCTCCTCCAGCCATCCCATCTGCCTGCCCGGGCGACCGAGCCGAGGAGAGGCTGTGAGCCCTGGGCTGGTGCCACATCCTCACCCCATTGTTGTCAGTGGCCACAAGCAGGGGCATGGAAGGAAGATTTTAACTTAATTATTTGTCCAACCTCCTCCTAAGAGCCAGGCCCTGTTAGCAGTGGTCATAAGAATCGTCCTGAAAACACAATAAAAGAAAATAATAGAGAAATCTCCCTGTGTCAGGAAGCACCCTGGCTGCACAGATCCATGCACAGTAGCATGAAACCTTCACTGGTTTAGACAGATTCTTCTGTTCTGTTGGAACAAATTAACTGTGTGAGATTCACTTGGTGTCTATAAAAGGAACAGGGGGGAGCAGGAAAGGGGCTGTTGTTGCTAAAGGAGACTAGCAGGATGAGGCAAGCCAGGTGCCAAGCTGCTGCTGAACACAGAAAGTCCTGGTTTAGGGCCACCTATGAGCTAAGTTTTTAATGTCTCCTTAATGTAAACGGTCTGGTTGGGACATCTGGCTGTCAGTGTGGCTTCAAGCAAGCAGCTGTTTGCAGTAACCTGTGGCTCTCATGGAAACTGGGCTCACGAGGACGCCAGTGTGATGTATTTATTACACGCAGCCATCAGCCTCCCTCTCCTCGCTCCGTTTTATGAGCAAACGTTCACTGCAAAGCTGAGGCTCATCTGATAAACATTTCAAGGTACGAAAATGAACATCCCCCTGGGAAGGAGAACAGGCTGTCAATTAAGATGGTGTAAGGAGGTGGCCTCCCTTGGCAACCCCGCGCTCGCCTCCCGCTACGTCAGCGCCTCCGTTTCTGGCCCGGCTCCCCGAGGAGAAGGCTGGAGAGCAGAGCTTTGCTGCTGGAGAGCCTGGCACCCACTGCCGTGGTGTTTAGAGATGCTTCCCCTTGGCTGTGAGCTCTCAAGTACAGAACAGGGGCAGGGGAGTGCTGCGAGGAGCTCCTCTGGCTCGCTGAGGAAGACAGACAGCAGCCGAATGGAGCGCTGGCTCCGCAGGCAGCTGGGTGCAGAGCTGGAGATTCAAAGGTCACCCTGCAGAGCTCTGGGCTTGGTGCAGGTTTTGGGTTAGATGGCATCCTTCCATTAGTGTCTTGGATGTCAAGTGACAGAGGAAATAAGGATGTGTAAGAAGAGGCTGGTGGTTCCCAGGGATTTAGTAAAGAGAGGAACAACTGGAAAGGGCAAACCAGTGTGCAGGGCCATCAAAGGAGGAAGAAGGCAGTGGGATGGGTGAGCATGGCTCCATGCCAGAGGCTAAGGAACCACCAAAGAAACTCTAAGGTCATCTCTGGAGGAAGTCAAATCCCAAGCCAGCCTGGATTCATGTCAACTGTTGTGAGGAGACATCATCCTTGTATTCTGGACAGATCCTCAGCCTCGTCCAACATGCAAATAGGAGCAATGGGGAGAGAAGGAAAATATTTTGCAGTTATTCATGGACTGCAGGACCCCATTCCTCCACCTTCCTCTGCTCCAGCTTCTCAGGGAACAGCACGTCAGATGAGGCTGATGGATGAACTGTGTCTCTGAAAACTTCAAAGCAGGTCAAGGCTATTTGAATCCTGTAAGAGCTCTCCAGATCTCCAGAGGGACACAGCTACTTCTGAGCATTTCTTGCTGAGAACTTCCAAAGGGGCAGGGTGACAGTTTGGCCTTTGCTGGGACACTGCCAGGACACTGGCAGCCCTTGGATGAAATACAGTTCATGGACTTGTGATCTCTTAGAGCCTCACCACCCCTGGCACTGCACACTGGGGCTCTGTAGGTGCAGTCCCCCTGGAGAGGTTGCTTTTTATACTCCCAGAATCAATCCTCTCCCAGTCCTCCTCAGAGCATGAAAAGTAAAGAGAAAATGTTTCCAGCATAAAGCTGTGTATAGGTAACAGACAAGGTGCTGTGCATCCCTGCATGGTGTCAGGGGCACCACGGGGCTAAAATTTAGGAGGATCTCTCTAGTGCCTACATCAGCAAGTTGACTTATTCTTTTGGGAGAGAGCAAAGGTGGAAAAGGAAATTTGGGGAATATTTACAGTTGTATGGCAACCACAGACCACTGTGAGAAAAATTATATGTTAAGTAAGATAAACAAAGAAATAAATAGAAGGAAATGACCATGAAACATACTATTTAGAAGAGACAAGTTTACCACATGTAGATTGCTCAGTCATTGACCCCTCTGATAGCATCATATAGCAAATCTATAGACAAAAGTAATAATCTGTTCACTAGCAACTCAGCTCTGCCCTTCCAGGGGCTCAAAACTGTTCTTGGCACACCTGGAGTGGGAGGTCCTCTTCTGGACTGTCCCCAGGGAACATTGTCTAGGTGTGGAGGAAGCTAGAAGGAAATGACCATGAAACATACTATTTAGAAGAGACAAGTTTACCACATGTAGATTGCTCAGTCATTGACCCCTCTGATAGCATCATATAGCCAATCTATAGACAAAAGTAATAATCCATTCACTAGCACCTCAGCTCTGCACTTCCAGGGGCTCAAAACTGTTCTTGCATAAGAATCATGCCCCTGCAGCTGGGTGTTTGCATTGCCCACGTCCCTGACCATAGAGGAGGCAGCAGGTGCCCAAAGCCACACCTGGAGTGAGAGGTCCTCTCCTGGACTGTCCCCAGGGAACGTTGTCTAAGTGTGGGGGAAGCTAGTCTGAATGCAGGATGGCAGAAAGGATCTGTCCTGTGTGCAGAATGCATCTCACTAGCAGGGAGTCAGGCCTGGAGGTCACCTCACGTTCCTTGACACCAGTGTGCTCCACCAAAAAATGCCTGGGAGGGATTCTGCTGCTCCTTATTACCTGGCTAGATGACACACACAAATACTGCAATACAGGGACCACAGAATCATAGAATAGAATGTCTGGGCTGGAAGGGACCTCCAAAGGTCATGTAGCCCAACCTACCATGCCATAAGCAGGGACATCTCCAACTAGATCAAGCTACTCAGAGCCTCATCCAGCCTGACCTTGAATGACGCCAGGGATGGGGCCTCCATTGCCTCTCTGGGCAACCTATTCCAGGGATCTGTCACCCTCATATTAAAGAGCTTTTTCCTAATGTCTAACCTAAATCTGCCCTTTTCTAGCTTAAACCCATTACCCCTCGTCCTGTCACTACAGACCCTTGTGAACAGTCCCTCCCCTGCTTTCTCAAGGGCCCCTCTTAGGTATTGGAAGGTCACTATAAGGCCTCCCCAGAGCCTCCTCTTCTCCAGGCTGAACAGCCCCAACTCCCTCAGA